CGACAAGTACCTGGGCGGCCTTTTCTTGAATGGCGACAACCCGTCGAGCGGCCGCTACGCCATCTACGGGTCGGCCTACGTCCTGGGCCTGCCGCCGCGCGCGAACGCGACCTTCCCCTTGGCAAACGCTGCCTTGGCGGGGTTTCTGCGGGCGGCCCCAGAACGTCCACGAGACTCGCTCAGCGACGAGTTCCTCACGCTTGCCTCCGCCGACTGGTTCTACGACAAGGGCCGCTGGGGCTCTGAGGGGCCTGAGGCAGCAGCGGCGTCCTGGGTCGCCTTCGACTGCTACCTCAGGCCGAGCGAGGTGCTGGCGCTGACGGCCGCAGATGTCACGCTGCCCAGGCCGGGCTGCCCCGACACCATCGTCACGGTGGCCCCCGCGACGGGGGCGCTGCCCGCCAAGAACCGGGTGTTCGACGCCTCCACCGTCGCGGGGGCCCACAACCGGGGCTGGGTGAGTGAGCTTCTGAGGGCCCTTTGCCGCGTCCGGCCGACAGGGCCTCTCTTCCAGGTTTCGCTTGGAAAGTGGGAGGAGATGTGCAGGAAATTTCGGGCACAGCATTTCTCTCCCCCACTCCCTCTGCCCCCCCCACTCGTGGCGTCATGCTGGCCCATCTCACGACAGTTGGTATTTCAAAGTTTCAGAGAGCACTATCCAGCAGCGTGGTCGTTGGCTCTCGGCCAACTCAGTCAAGCGTTACTCCAAGCCTGCAGGCATGCTGCGCAACAGACAGTTGCTCTCCGCAGCACAGATAGCTCGAGCAAAGCAGTTAACGCCTCGGCTCGGCAATGAGATCCTGGAGTTTTTCAAAGGTCCCACCCGAACCCGCCCTCCGGTAAACCGATCCAAGAAGGTTTCTGGAAGTTTGGGCACAAGGTCGCTGGTCAAGAAACGGCCAGCTTCCCTTCTTCAATAACCGGGGTTGGACCCCCCAGGATCATGCTTGTGCCGTGGGAAATGAATGTGTTGCGATGTCTTTAGCCTTTCTCAGGGCCTACCCCCGCTCCGCCCCCCTCCTCGTCGCCGCGGGATCCTGGGGTCTCCAGGCGTGCTGGCGTGGTGGGGCTGTCTTGGCGCTCTGCGTAAGACTAGGCGGCAGTTGGCAGTCTACGATTGATGGTGTGCCATATTATCGTTGTCACGATCGTAGCCGGCCCCATCTCAAGTTTTTGGCTCCACCTCCTCCTCTCCTCCGTCCTCTTTCTCCTTTCTGTGCACTTGTATCTCGCCGAGCCGATGCAGGGCACAAGGGCGCTGGTCAAGAAACGGCCAGCTTCCCTTCTTCAATAACCGTGGTGTGACCCCCCAGGATCATGCTTGTGCCGTGGGAAATGAATGTGTTGCGATGTCTTTAGCCTTTCTCAGGGCCTACGCCCGCTCCGCCCCCCTCCTCGTCGCCGCGGGATCCTGGGGTCTCCAGGCGTGCTGGCGTGGTGGGGCTGTCTTGGCGCTCTGCGTAAGACTAGGCGGCAGTTGGCAGTCTACGATGTAAATCGGCATGCATGCTTGTATGCATGCATGTATGTAGATATCTTTTTATATACGTATGTTTGTGGGTATATGTATGTAACTATGCATGCATATGCGTAGGTATGTATGTTTGCAGGAATGCAATATGTATGCCTGTCTTTCTGTTTGTCTGTCTCTATGTATGTATGTATGTACGAATGAACATATACAGTTATGTATATATATATATGTATATGTATACATTGATGTCTGTCTGTCTGTCTGTCTGCCTGCCTGCCTGCCTGCCTGCCTGCCTGCCTGCCTGTCTGTCTGTCTGTCTGTCTGTCTGTCTGTCTGTCTGTCTGTCTGTCTGTCTGTGTGTCTGTCTGTCTGTCTGTGTGTCTGTCTGTCTGTCTGTATATAGGTATGTATCTATGTATGCATGCATGTATGTATGCATGCATGCATGTATGTGTATATGCAAATGTTTTACATATATATGTATGAAGTCTTGGCACATCTGCTTCCTGAGCCTGGGGCTGGGTGAATCGGCTCTGGTGGCTCGATTCTTAACGCGTCGCGCATCCCCACCGGCTGTTGACGCCGCGCGGCTGTCCGCTAGCGGTCGGTAAACCAAAAAGAGCATCCCCACCGGCCCATCCAGGAGCGATGCCTGGGGGAGCTGCCCTCAGCGGGGGAGCGCGTCATCGTTTGGATTCCTCGGGGAGCCTCAGAGAAGGAGTGTGGCGTCATCTGGATACCTCGGGAAGCCTCAGTGAACTAGTTGCCTCTTGGATGCATCTTGGAGTCGCTTGGGATGTCTCCTAGGGCTCTTGGTGGCCTCTTAGGGCATCTTGGGGCCTTCTGGGGCCTCTTTGGGGCCTCTTAGGAGCCTCTTGGGGCCTTCTTGGGGCTCTTTTGGGAGCCTTGGAAGCCTTCAGTGGACCATCTTTGAGGACATCGACCAAAGAAGGGGGAGCCTTACTCAGCACTGCCCCTCTGGAGCCCTTAAAATCTTCTCTTCGAGACCTCTTGGGGCGCTGTTGGGGCGCGCTTGGGCGCTCCTGGGCCGTCTTCGAGCCCCCTTGGGCCCCTCGTGGATCTCTCTGTTGCGCCCTCTTGGAGCTATCTTGAGGCCTCGGAAGGCGATCGGAAGCGAACGGGCGAGAAAGCCAACATTATTGATTTTCAATCGGTCTTGGGCGGATTTCGGCATCCTGGGGATTGAGCCATCTTGGAGGCCATCTTGTAGTGCCTTCTCGCGACTTTGCCGCCTTAGGCGGCGTGGCGCCTTCAGCTCGGCTCTGCTGACAGCCTCGCGACACTCCCAGGTGGTTGTCGCGTGTTGCCTGGCTGTCTCAGAGGGCCGTTCCAGGTCGGGTGCGCCGCGGACCCAGTCTTTCCTGCGGCGACGCCACCGTGCTGCTGCTCGGGCAGCTGCGCGACCCTCGCGCTCAGCTGCTTGCCTCTATGACGCGTATCTGTATCTTGCCCAGCTGCCGGGGTTTCGGCGTCTGGTAGGTCAAGTGCACGGCCTCGGTCTGCATTGTTGACCGCTTTCTGTCGTACCGATATGGCGCGACCGCGCGTCTCCTCGCGCTGGCTTTCTCTCTTCGCCCTCCCCCATTTCTGTCAGTGATGGCGGCGGTGGTTGGGTGGTTGACCCTCCGCTCACCGGTGCTCATACGGAGGTAAGCTGTAGCTGCGGCTGGCCTCTCGCGCAGCGTTTGTTTGAGTTTTTGTTGTGCGGCATCGCGCGCGCCTGATCCTTGGTCGGGTCGGTTTTCCTCCGCTTGTGCTGGCGGGTGGTGGCTGGCTCACCTCGCCAGTTGTGCCGATGTCGTTTCGTTGGTTCACGCCCTACCAATGCCTCGTCGGGACGTGCTGGGTCAGCGTTTCTTTTCACCCATCGGTTGGTCTGGCAGCTGTTTCAGGTTTTTGTTGCGCTTCGCTGTCTAACAGCGTCCTTCGGTGATTCAGTGGCCGCCAATTCGCGACAGACTGCTTGCGCTCCAGCTTACGTCGAGTTAAGTAGCCTCCTCGGTTCTTTGGTCGCTGTACGTTTCGTTTGGACTTACAGTTCCCCTTTCACACCACCCAGTTGCACTCTTCTGTGTGCGACCCTTCGTACAATGTGCTTTTTCGACGATGCTCGATCGCAATTCGCACTTCATCTGCCGTTCGCGCCTGAGGACCCTCTGCGCCGCTGACTTATGTGTGTGTGTGTGTGCGCGTGTGTGGGCTCGCGCGGTGGTGGGCTCTTCGCCTGGGCTCGGAGGTGGCGGTCGGACTTAGGAGAGCCTTTTTTTTCGATGTCCCGTGCTGTGTCAAGGATGGTTGGCTCCAACGTCCGAGTGCCCCTCGCCGCCCCGCGCCGCTGCCGCTGCCGGTTCTCTTCTTGTTGGCCTCTCTCGCCTCTCTCTTGCATGTCGGCCGCGCTGTGTGGCCCGACGCATGGATTATGGACGAGGAGGTACTGATCGTGGTGAACGTCCGCTGCGGGGAAAACTCTTCCTCCTCCTCCTCCTCCTTCTCCTCGTCCTCCTCCCTTCTTCCTTCTCCTTTCTCCCTTCTGCCTTCTCCTCCTCCTCCTCCTTCCCTTCCTCCTCCCTTGTCTTCCTCTTTCTCCTTTCCTTCCTCCTCCTTCCTCTCCCTTCTTCTCTTCCTCTTCCTCCTACTCCTACTCCTGCTCCTCCTCATTCTTCTTCTCCTCCTCCTCGTCTCCGTCGTCCTTTTCCCAACGTGCAATGTGGCGCGGTTAATCCACCCCGCCGTCTAGCGGTGCCCTGGCGGTGGCGCGCGCCATGCGTATTGCGGCCGCAAGGGTGGGTCCGCTCATCATTCGTTGTGGTTTGCATTCTGGCCAGGATTACACGTCTGCTCGGTCTCTGGCATCTGCTGCTTCCATACCAGTGTTCCCTCTGTTCGCATCCGCGACTCCGCAGCTTCCCCATGCCGACGTGGGCACATTCGCAGCAGACGTGTTCGGTTGCGCGGTGCGTCTAGCTCTTTGGCTGGCGGTACCCTCCTCGGCGGCTGCATGCGAAATTGCAGGTGCCGCGCAGGGCCCGCCCTCCAAACAGGGAGCCCAGACAGCGCACTCGCAGCCGCCAGTCTGCCTCGGGGCTCGTGCTGCGAGCGTTGATGCCGCGCTAGCCTGCATGCGAGAGTGGGGGCTTCAACGCCAGCGCGCCCCATGGGAGACACGAGCAGCATCACCCCTGAACCGCTCGCGTGCTGCCTTGCTGGCGCTGAGTGCGCGCCCAACCTCCTGCGCCCCCGTCTTCGCCAGTTTACTCAGCGACGGGGTCGTGTTGGTCACCTTCCTGCGGCGTCCTCGTCCACGTCTGGCTGCGTCTCCGTGCTGGCCAGCCCCGGTGCGGGACGGACTTTCGGAGATTTGTTGGCAATTCCACCCCCCCCTCCTCGTTCTCTCCGTCCCTCTTCCCTCCTCCCTCCTCCCTCCTCCTTCTGTTCTTTGTTTTCCTCCTTCGCCTCCCCCTTTGTCCCCCTCGCCCTCCCCCCGCCCTGCCCCCGCTGCCCCAAG